TTTTTTTTTCTTTTCTTTATGCAAATTAGTTTGTGTTATTATGGCAGAAAGCTCTGCGCTAGTAAACCTCTGCCGAAGGCTTCAAATTTCCAGTTGGAACTGATGGGAAAATTGAGGCGGAAGATAATATATGTCCACATTGTGAGCTAGCTGCTCTCTTCCAGCCATGTATCAAGCTCTCTGGATTTGGTTCCCAACACATGATTTTGGTTCATAGTTCAGCACTGAGGCAGGCAAAAGAAATCAAGAATGTATTGATGTATTTAGCTCACCAAGGTCAGCTGTGCCTTGGATTTCTTTGAAACAGACTTGGGTAGACTTTAACTAGTAAGGGATGGAGAGATAAGAGGACAGAGGAGTATGACTGCTGGCAAATTAAATTTTCAGAATTTACTGGTCAAAAAGTCAAAGTTTTTAAAAATTTATTTACAGGTTTTCAAATTATTCCCAGCGCAGGTGAAGATCTCAGCATGGCAAACATAAACCTATTAAGTGAAATGCCGTCAGTTCCAGCTGTCCTGTGAAGACCCCTTCAAAGTTTAATCCACAGGTCTTGTAGCCTGTCAGAAAAACCCCTCAGTTAATAACTTGGAGTCTCTGAAGCCCGTGGATGAACCACAAGATGTCGATAAGGTTGGTAAGCGGGGGAGGGGTAAAAAGAGGTTTAGTTATGTGCGGTGTGCGCTGTGTCCGGGAGATGGAGGTGTTGGCAAACAGCACACGGGAGAGGGAGGCCCGCAAGCCGGAGGCAGGGCTGGCTGCAGGGCCCGGGAGCCGCAAACGGAGACCAAGGGCTGTGGGAGGGGGCAGAGAATCAGCGCGCTGGGTCAGAGACTTGGAGATGAGGGAAGAGGAAAAGGCTAGTAAGGCACAGGGGAGCGCTTTCTGGGATCAAATCCGGGGAAACACAAAAAGCAAAGCTGTGAGTTAAATGACGGCATTGCAAAACCCAGAGGATGTGGACGTGCATCCTCAATGCTTTTTTAGGGTGGATATATGTGGCAGATTGGGGCAGGCTGCTGCCTATCAGTGTCTCTCCTGCTCACACAAGCCCTGTCGTGTTACAGTCGCTGGCCTGCCAGTTCACTTAGCTGGTCCCCACTAGGTACCTCCCCAACATATGTCTTAAGCACCTGTGCCAGGAGACACCCTTTTGGCTGCTGGGGGTCACAGGCTGGAGTGGTGGCAGGGCATCCCTTCCCAGGTTCTGCACCCCAGCAGGACCCCTGGCTCAAAGGAAGCTCCTGGAGGTACATGTGTGCTGCCACATCAGTGGTCCTGTCTCACCTATTCGTACATAAGCATATCTAGGACATGAACTTAGACCTGGGTGTAATCTTGACATACTGGAATTCCACTCATGGCTTGTCAGCCTGGTGCAGTTGTATTTGGTTTGGCCAAGAGGTGTCTTGGCGTCAGCATGTGAACTATGTTGTGTGTGAAAACATATAATAACTCCACTGGTTTTGAAAATACGTGTTACTAGGCCCTGCCAGGGCTTATCAGATGTGCATGTTCGTATGTTCCAGTGGATCTGCACACACAGATGTTTGCTGCGAAGTTGGGGTGCAGGTATCTAAAAACCAAAATTGCAGAATCAAAAGCCACACAGTGAAAGTGTTTAGGGTTGTTCAAGAGAATGGTGAAAATAAATGACTACTAATAAGAGCAAGTTGGTGTCTGCAGGAACAGCTGAAAAAGAGAGAAGCTAAAGTCCCAGGTTGAATAGACTTAAACTCATGGAATTCACGACTGAAAAAGAAGACGTGCAGTGTATAGGGTTCTTGGATAGGTATTGAAGGGACTCTTATTTAAACCCTGCAAAACATCCAGAAAATGTGAGAAAATCAAGACATAAAATAACATGTGAAGATCTATTGTTTCATTTAGTTCTAAATGTGTGTTAAGCTATGGTTTCTCTTTGCTTGAATTTTGTATGCTCCTGAAGACTTAAATTGTGAGATCAGAGTATCTAAAATGTTAGAAATCTGTGGAAAAGAGTAGTTGAAGTGTTAGTGGTGGTCCTAAGGTGTCTGTGTTTCTCCTCAATGAAAATGTAATGTGGTAAGAAAGAGAACACAGGCCTAACAAATGTTCCTGTGAAATGATAAACCTGATTGTTACTGCAACCTAGTGAGACCAGGGGAAACTTAGAAGGAAAAGGCTCAAAGAAATATGGGAGGATAAATTTTTGTGTTTTCCCTACTAAATGAGATCTTGGAGCAAAAATCCAAGGAAGCAAAAACAGTCCACTTTCTAAGTGATGTACTTATTTTTGTTATTTCAGGATAACAGTTAACTATAGTAGATCAGGGGAAGAAAAAAGTTCCCTTCCCTTTGAAAGCAAAAGTGCTCAAACTTGTGCTCAGGGAAGAGCTGCAGTCATTTCAAGTTTGGACTCCTGGTCTGTCAAGAAATATTAAGCATTTCCCTCTGCATTGAAAGAAACGACATCTTTATATGCCACCTAATGCAGGAGCAGTTATCTGGACCTGGCTGTGAACTTAAGTCTATGGGGAGGCACACTCAGCATAGTGGCAAATGGCCTGGTGAGGGAGCTCTGGTAGAGCTGTGCTGCCAATGACATTTATTTCAAGCTGTGCTTTTATGAAGAGTTTTGTTTGGAAAATATCTTAATAGCCTTGTGTTTATTGAGTAATGGTGACACAGATATCTGTTCCAGGAAAAACTCACTGGGATTAACTGAATAATTGGAATGGCAGAAAATGTCTTTTCTCTTTGACTCGGCATGGGAGGACCGTAACTTTGCAAAGACTTGGCTTCTGCACTTCTTCCTTTTGATTCTAATACAAGCTGTGGTCCTTAATTTTTCAGTTGGCTGAGGACAGCTGAGTGGGGAGCAGCATTATTGGGAAGTGCACAGATATCCATGGTTCCTGTCACCATACTAACATGACATACTAACATAACATACTAACTGACACACATCATTTTGCAGAAAATTACAGACAGTTGGTGTCTGAGGAAGTGAGGAAAGGAAGGCAACTGTCTCTGAAATAACGTTGTGATTTGGACTGCTGTGAATCTCATCTCTTCTTGTGCTGCTGCTATTGTATATACATATCACTATGCAAACTAGTGAAATTACAGTGATAGAAGAGAAAGTAAAGTAAAAAATCCTCTGGTGTAGCAATTCAGAGAAAATAACCTAGCAAGAAAGCCTAATTGTGACTTAAAAGTGTCATTTTTCTGTTATAAAGCTCCAGTATTAACTATGCAGCTGCATGAAATGGGAAAAAAGGGCTGATAGAAAATCAGAAGTGCCTGAAAATTCTGGCCACTTTAAGAGGCTTTTGTGATTTCCTGTAATGTGACATAAACCACTTACTGCATTTTTGCTGGGAAATTTGTAGCTGAGGTCAATATAGCAGAAAACTTGAGGAAACAGGGTTTCTGTGCTAGAATGAGAGTTGTGTTCTTTATCAAACCATTCACAGAGGATGGTGCCGATTCAAATTCACATAAAGCATACTAAAATGTATGTTAGGCTATATTATATCATGTTTGCTGCTTCCTGTCAGCAGGAAGAAGCAAAAAGTTTAATTTTACTTATCAGAATACTTGAATTTAGATATAAGCAGGCTTTTTACTTGGACTCAACACAGATTACTACTTTGGCAGTAGTTTTCCCTCTTCTCGTTGCACTTGCTGCAGCCTGACTTCATGTTCCTGGTGTGGTTCATGTTCTGCCATGCTTGGTGTAGCTGGAGCCACTGGTGGAGATCTGGCTGGTTCCAGCACTGCTGTGTTAGAGGGCAGTCAACCTCCTAGCTCCCTGCTCAGGTGTGTAGCCCTGCTGAGAGCTAGTTTGCAGTCTGACCTGGATTTTCCCCATGAAAAGCAAGAGCCCCCAGAGATCAGACCTGCCTTCTGTGGTCCCCCCTTCAGAGTTTGTCTCTTTGATAGTGGTGATGCATGCAGAGACCTGAGCATCTACCAATGACATGTGTGTGATAAATGTTTGGTGAAATGAACCCATACAGCAAGGGCCAGCAAAGTGATGTGGTTTCACAGGGATCTCACTTGATGACTAGACCTCAGTCATAGGCCAGTGATTTAACAAAGTCAATTCCTTGTTTAATTAAGCTTATTTATTAATAAATCTGAAATAAATTCTTGAAATTGTCTTAGATAATTTTTTGCAACTTTCCAGTCAGAATTAGTTTGGTGCTATGAGTCGAGCAGCTGAATCATTAGAAATGATTCACTACTTTCCTTTCTAAGGATGTGAATTAGCACATGTTCTGCTGGAGTGTATTCTGCTTTAGAAAACCCATGGAGTATGGCTAGTGTGAGTACAGACAAATACATGGAGCTAACTCAGTTAGCTCTTATTTTATACTGTCTTCCCAGTACCAGACCTGAGTGATAAGAAGCTTGTGTTGCTGAAAAGGTGAACAACGTGAATGTCCTTTAATGGCATTTTGCCTCAAATTTCCCCTTTTCCCAGCATGACTGAAAGCATCAATTATGAGTTCACAATCATGTGAACATCAGCAATAAAGCATTGTCTTCTTGAATCTCCAGGATGATACAAAGATATTAATGATTATTTTATGCCAGCTGGCTTATGTTTTCTAAAAATAGTAGAAAATTGAAGAGAGCTGGCAATGCAGGCAGGGGAGATTGTGGAGATGTGGTGAGTACATGGCAATAGATAATCCAAAACCTGTGACTTTCTTCACCACCCTCTTTTGCTTTCCCCCAGTAACTACTACGGGCGTAAAAAAGAAGGTCTCGGGCACGTGTTACAAAAAACTATAATAAAATATGCTTTAAAGCTCCTGTGTTTGGACTTTGCACTGGTTGACTGTATTTCACTGTATCTGGCTTTATTGTGGTGTCAGCCACGTATGCCCCGCAAGTAACTGTTTATACCTCCAGTTCCTGGCCATGGAGGACTACAGATGTCTGGGCTAGACATAACCTGGTGGTGTCCAAGCCCTGCCTTGGGAACAATGTATATGTAATGTATACATGCCTGGTCCAATGTATAGCTCACAGTGAGGGAGTATTCAGAAAGCTATCTGTGCTGACATAGATAAATGGAGGCTGTAGAAAAGTGATAGAAAGTAGAGTTCAGACTATTCTCTGTGGGTGATATTCCTCTTCATATTTTATTTCCAGTTATTTTAAAATTAAGCCATAAATCGAAAGCAGAATTCACATTATGCATTCATCTCCTCCTCTGCAGGCCCCAGGGGGACAGCTGGACTACTTTATCAGGATGGAGAGTGGAAGATATCTGACCATGCTGAGCTCTTGTGTGAATGCGTGTGTACTGCTTGAACAGACAGGTGTTTTATGTCGTCCTGGGATATATGATACTTTTACTGTTGCTGATGCTTTTACTGATGCTTCATACTGTTACTAGTTAATACCTATACTGGTAATCATCAGGTCTCGTTTTGAAAAGCTGTATAAAGGTCTTGGTCTCTGGAGAACCAGGACCTAGTCTGAGGATGCATTTTTGCTCGTATTGGAACATAGGTTTTTAAATTTTATTTTATTTTAAATTAAAAACCTAATTACGACAGCAGGTAATGTGAGGAGAGGAGGGAAGAGAAATTAAAAAAGGCACTGTGAACAATGAAACATTTTTATTGCCAAAACCATAGCAAGTAATAACAAGCAGGTTATCTGGAATGACATTTTACCCACTGAATCATCAAATAACCCTGAATGAAACTTAATCTGTTACTGAGACATTTCGGATGGTATTCCTGTGTGTGGATTCTCTTTTGTCTGGTAGTTGGGTCAAACTCATAGTGAAGACTTTCCCCAGTGGGACACTGTTGCCCTGAAAACTCAGCTTCTGAGCTTGCTAACATAGTTTTCTAAGACTTTCCCAGGACAGTAACTGTAAACATAGATATGTATACATTCCTTCGGTTACACGTCTTGTGATGGGCATCTCTCATGGCCAGTGCAGTGAGAAAGTGTTATCCTGACCATCCAATCCCTGGCCATGGTCAAAAAACTATAAATCCTAGGAGGAAAAATAAAGTTTTTCTTCCTTTCACCACACCTCGAGCTGTGTCCGTGTGATCTATTCATCTCCAGCAGCAACAGGACACCAGTCTAGATCTCTTCCCTGAACTGGTTGCATATTTTCACAAAACTTTGGGAACTGAATATTTCTAGGGCATCTGTTGCTCCATCAGTAGCAAAGACTGCCCAGCAAGTGAAAATCTCTTAGAAGGAGATGAAAGCAAAGCCACTGAAATTACCTGTAGACAGTGCTTGGGAGAGCAGTCTGGTAGGAAAACACACAGAGGATCATAGATTGGTTTGGATTGGAAGAGACCTTAAAGATCACCTTGTTCCAACCCATGCACAGGGACACTTTCCACTAGACCAGGTCACCCCATCCAGCCTGGCTGTGAACACTTTCAGGGTCCAGCAACAGTGAACCTAGCTAGGAAATTAAGCTGTGAAATGGTTTGGCTGGCTTCTGGCACATGAGGCCAAGCTGATTGAGGTATGAGTTTGGCTCTAGCCCCAAGGGAACTCATCAACATGCCTGTTCACAGCTAATTCATTCTGTGAGATCTCATAGGTTAGTATGATGGAGCGTGGCTGGCTGGCTTGCTAAATGGAGGGGGGTGTGTGGAGTTGCTTTGGATCAAACAAGGTGTCTTCTTGTAGTGTTGAGGAAGGAAAGGAGCCTGAGGGGTAAGTTCTTGTTGGAGAAACAATGGAAATGGAAATGAACAGAAGAAATGCTGCAGGGGGGATCTTGAGGAAATCAGCAGCTGAATTAAAATGGAGGTGCTCTGATGAACTTTTCTTGCTTCCTTTTCTTTCATAATCTGATCCTGCCTACAGCTTTGAAATCATGTTTTTGTACATCTCAGCTTGCTTCATCTGCTCCTGCTTGCTGTTTGGCAAGGCTGAGTGTTTTCTTGACTGGGCTACAGAGTACGAGGCTCTCTGGTACAGCTGGTGGCTGGGATCAAGGATTGCTTTGCATTCTGGCTTGGCAGCCCATGCTTCCTGTCACTGCAAGCCCTTTTGGCTTTTGACACCCAGATTTGTTCTTACCTGGCTAAGTGTATCTCCTTCCACCCAGTTAATGGTGCAGTTAATTACCCTTCCAGCAGCAAAAATTAGCCTTTGCAAGAAGCACTGCTCAGCACTGCTTCTCTCCCAAGTGGACCAGTGGGGCAGAGGCAACAAACACATCCTTTCTTACTTGACAAGTGACAATCCTTCCCTAACAGAGCATCCCTGGGAGAGTCTAATGCACTGCAGTTTATTTCACGCAACCCACTGTGGTATTCTCTTTGTTTCAGGCAGTAAAATCTATCAAGAAAGGGATATGGTCAGCCAGACAATTCCCCAGATAATCGTGGAAACATGTTTAATCTTATGTTGCTGTGAGCCTGCTGTCAGTTTTTTGATGCCGGTAGTCAGAACATTTATCATAACTGCTCTGAATTATCTCAGCATGCCATTATGTCAGGCAGAGCAAGAGTCTCCCTTTGAAGTGACCTTTCTTTCAGTAGTGGATTTAGCAAAGAAAAGGAGAAAGAATTTTAATAAAGATTACTAAAACAACATGCAGTCAGTGAGCTCACTCACTGATGCTCTGGCTTGAACAGTTGCTTTGGGTGCACCCAGAGAGCAGCAGATGATGGGTGGCCCTGTGGGATCATAGATGGTGAAGAGCAGGATCTGATACTGGCATCTGCAAGTGTGGGTCCTCTGAAACCAACAGAGTGGCCTGTTGTGTCAAATCTGGATTTGGTAGTGAGGACAAAGACATATGGGATATGGAAGAAGGAGATTACCAGAATTCAGGAAAAAGCATTGAGCTGAGTAGGTACTCCACACTGGAGATGATCAATCTGCTCTCTGTCCTGATAAACATTAACTGGGGTTGTGAGCTAAGGGAGATGGCATGTCTCAGTCCTTCTAGAGCAGAACATTAAGAAGGCTCATTTTTCTCATGGCTGAACCAGCTGGAAGCACTTAAAATGTGCCATGGCATGGAGAGCTTGAGTATCAAGCTATAAAAACCACAGCCATGGCAGGCTGGAGGCGTGGTGCTAGCTCTACCTGTGGTCAGAGCAGGTTGGGCATCCAGCAGCTCAGCCTGAGCATGCTGTGGTCAGAGGCTCAGCCAGAGCAAGTGCATGTTGCATGGATGTAGAAGGATCCTTGATCAGCTCAGCATCAGGCTGTGGAGACCTTTCCCCATGTGGTGTGGCTGAGGAAGGTAAAGCAGGCCTGTTCCTTGCTTTGATCTACCCTGTAGACGTATCTGGGACAGTGCTGGTACGAAACTGGCTTCAGCCTTGCCAGCTGCTTCAGATTCTGCCAATGAAGGTGGGGACATCAGAGGAGTGATGGAATCTCACCAGGGAGACGTGTTGGCCCTGTAGACTCTGAAGATGCAGCTGCTGGAGAAACATGAAACTGCAGAGGGGATACAGTGATGAGGGTGGCAGAGGAGCACAGATATCTGAGCTGCCAACAGAGAGATTGCAGCTCTGATGGCTGTCACATGGCACAAGAGGATATGGGAATGACTTCTGTATGTGCTGTAGCTTTGTATCCTCTGCAGCACCAAGACAGCAACATTCCTTCCCCTGTATGTGTTTCTGTCAGGAACTTTGGCAGTGTTACCAGTAACAGCCAAGACCAATCCTTTTTACTCCTTTTCCCCACAAAAATTGGTCTGTTATAGCCATACAGAATGCATCACTGTCTGTATGCTTGCACCTCTCATCAGGACCCATGGACTAATTTCAGCTGGAGATGTAGAAGCACTTTTAAAAGATATTTTTATTAGAAATCACAACCAGCATGGAGATAAAAGATGCCATGAAGGACACCTTTAAGGGGTCTGTGCCTCTCTGCATTCATCTTTTGTTGAACTTCATAGAAAACCCACCACCTGAAAGGTATATTTTTGCTATTTCTTATAAAGGAAATTTTCACCTGGAGCTTGTGCTCAATTGTAAAACCCTAGCCTGAGAGGAAAAGCATCAGGAAACCAGACTGCAGTAGCTCAGTGACTTCCAATGCTACTTCTTCCTCCATCCTTTGCTCTCTTTAGCAGACATGCGGAACTGTGACTTTTGCACAGTTCTTGGGCATCCTGACTCCTCAGGAGCTGAACTAGGCAGAGAAACTTACCTCATTTGCAGTGCTGCCACACTAGAGATATGCTGTGAGTGGGGCTTGGAGGCAGCCAGGAGGGGAGGAGGGCTAGGGGTGAACCTGAGGGATGGAACAGATTTTGTTTCTGAAGGCATGGAAGACCCAACCCCATCCTACATTCTATAGAGGTGCACCTATGAAGTGCACTGAAGGGCACTGTTCCATTTGCCTGCATGTTTTGACAGTGTTAGTTGTTAGCAGCTGTTATTGGTGCTCTTTGGGATTTTATTTGTGCTCTTTGGTTCATAGAGACCAAGCCTCAGGTCACATGACAAGGAATATGAACTAGAAAGAGCAGCCTCATACTGCAAGAAGTCATGTTTCTTTATTGTTAACACGTGGGAATTCTTTGCTAAAAACACAGTATCAGATAAAACAAACTTTGATGGAAGCTAGATAAAGGAATGACCAAGCCAATACTGTTCATATGAAAATAAAAAATACTCAGTCAAAGAAAGACAGGAGCTTTCTTTGTTGTCATGCACTGATTTGAAACATTTTAATTGTGAATACAATTACAGTTTGTGTTTTTCATGAGGTTTGCAAAATTCTAGGTAGTTTTTTTTTCTCCTTTTTTACATCTTATGCTTCTTGGTTTTCGACATTACTGCAGAAGAAGCCATGAATTATGAGAAATATTTGTGTTACTGTATTTCTGGCCAGTCTGAAATGAGGTATTTTCAGAATCTTTCCTGGAAGAAAAGGCATGGGTGCTGCTTCTGGACACAAAATGAGTTACATGGACACAGCCCATCACAAGACATGTATCAGAAAGAATGTATACATATCTATGTTTACAGTTACTGTCCTGGGAAAGTCTTTAGAAACTATGTCAACAACATCAAAAAACTAAGTTTTCAGGGCAACACATGGGGTTGATCTAATTTTTCTAGATCATATAGTTTTGAACACTTGAACACTATGCTTCAGGTACTGGTTGCTCTGCAAATAAAATCACAGGACTCTGTATGCTTGAATATTGTACTACGTGCTTTATTGAGCCATACATTGCACATGCAATTATTTAACATGGACTAAATTCCTATTTACATGAGAGCCTCTTTGCCACCTGGGCAGTGCAGTGCAATACCTAACACTGACGTAAGTATGGACACAGAGCTGCACTCATAGCTACACGCAAACACGTGAATTTATCCCTACAAATATACATGATACATCTATATGTAGATATATATTGTTAAAAGGAATTCAGACAGAATTTATGAAAATTTTTTGTTACATGTGGTCATTTTGTTCTCTTGACACCAGTGACAGAATGGTCAAGTGAAGAATCAAGGGTCAGCCCCTTTTTGTGCTGTATGTACTGTTTATACAAACATCCTACTCTAAAGCATCCTACTATATTGATCATATGGAAATCAGTGCCAGTTCTGTCATTGATTCCAGAGCATTGAGGAGTTGGCCCAAAATCTCAATTTATACCACCTTCTTTATGATTTTGTCTATTAAATTTAAATTGCTGGAGACTATAACATAAATGTGGGGGATAAAAAAATGTAATAAAATTGTTTAATTTATTTCTGGGTCCATCAAACATTTGGACTGATAGAAATTTGATGTTCTTAGTTTTCATTTTAAAATAAACAAAAACACTTTAATGGGTGATCTCCTAATTTCCTGTTAATAGAGTTTAAATTGAAAAGCATTTTTCAGTGGGAGAGCTACTCATTAAAATTGTAGATAGCAATTTTGTTCCATTTTTAAACTCTTCTGGCTGGAGATCCTTGAGTCATAAGGCATTTATATTTTCTTTAACAATACATAACAACAAAATTCACATTTACACATGCATCTGTAAAGATGTTAAAAGTGTATTGTGTTGAAACAAAGAAGGGCAAAATCAACAGGTTACAAGAGAGAATCTCAAACACCTGCAGCCCCTCCCCAGCCTTGAAACGCATGTCTTTTTCTTCCCTGTGGTAGTCATTCATCTGTGTCAGTCTACAACCTGACAAGAGGACTCCTGAAAATGAGAGTCACAGGTGAGCCATGACCCTTGGTGAAGGGAGGACAGGGTCATACCCATGATCCTGACCTCATATCAGACCTGCAGATTCTGCAGTCCATGACCCACTTAATTTAGAGCAGGGGGAAGAGAAGACTTGGGGCCAGGAGATGACACCACTCCAGCGTACTGGTACTCCAATATAATCAAGGCTGTGCAGCTGGATTGCTGGGTAGGATAACTGTGTGAGATGATAGGGCAGCGGGACCTATACATATTTGAAATCTTTAGTTTATCTGTATACACTTAATCTTTCCCTCCTTGGAATCATAGATATGCATACATGGATATTTATGTATATGTATCTGTATCCATATCCATACATGTATATATAAGTATGTGTGCTCAGTAAGAGGTAGGAATTTCTTCCTGATGATGAAGCTGTGGAGGTATCTGGTGGACAGAGGGTTGGGATGGGCAAGTAGTGATCATAGATTTAGGGCCCCTGCAGGGTTATGCCAAGCCACAGGCCAAATAAAATCCTAGTGTGAGGTTCCGGTCCTCATGAAGTGAATGGAGGCTCTAAAGGCAATACTTCACATGGTATGAGTAAGATACTAAAAGCTAATTGATTAGAAACTAGAAACCCTGGTAAACCTGGTGATCATGTAAAGAAAAACTGGAAAATTAGATGACATTTTAATGGGGCTTTAGTTTAGCAACACATTTTGTTCTATTAAGGAGTGATGCAGTGTAGAAGTGATTCCTTGATTCCAAATTTGTCTGCTTTATTTGCTTTGTGTCACTGCCATAATTTTATCAATGTTTTCTTTTAACAGTGATTCCATAAGAGGCCTCTTAAGCTAAAACATATAGTGAGTAAAATTTTCTACATTCATTTCACTTTGCAAGTCAGCCTCCTGTGTTTAAATTTGGTGTTCTGACATGCACTTTGAGGCTTTTTGTAGCTGTATAAATGGCTATTATCTGGAGATAGGAGAGGGAGAATTCTGTCCTTGAGGCTCATTTTTGATGTCTCTGATTTGAGATTATTACCACAGTGGGTTTCATCAGTCATGTTGGATATGCAGTAAATGACCTCAGCTGTTAGGAAGTCATTAATCAACAAATCATCAACCTGATAAAAGTGTCTCTTTTTGTGTCTGTGGATATGAGGGACAGTGCCTGATTCTTCCTGAGACAATATAATCAGAAGAAAATTGCTGCTGATTTCCTTAGGAGTTGGTGTGGTTTTGTTTTCCTGGTACTAAGCTTTCCTGGTGAGCATGTGAAGTCTTGTGGGCTGATATCAAGGGATGTTTTGTTGGCTGCTTACTCACTGCAAGGAGGTTCAGAGACTGGAATGTCTTGATTTTATGGACGTGAGGAAGTTGTTTAGGAGATTTTGTCTGCAGCCTTGAACTGAAGCAAGTGCACAAGTGGTGTTGCTTGGAACTCTGATTTTTAAGCATGAAGAGGCACAAAATCCCCAACATAGTGTGTATTTCTGCAAAAGCATTTAAATATTATCATATCTCCTATTCTGAAGAGGTGCAGGGAGCTAAGGAATTTTATTTTATTTTATTTTATTATGGGAGATGGGGCCTGAGGGAATGGCATGAAACTGTGTCAGGATAGGTTTAGGTTTGATATTTCAGGAAATATCTTTAGTCCAGAAGATGGTTGTACACCGGAACAGACTTTTAAGGGAAGTGGTCATGACAGGATGCCAGCCAGAGTTCAAGAAGCATTTGGAAAATGCTGTCAGGAAGGTGGTTTGATTCTTGGAGGTGTCCTGGGCAAGGCCTGGAGTTGAAAATCTTTGTAGGTCCCTTCCTAGTCAGGATTCTGTGATCCTAAAATATGATTTACAGTCCACTGGTTTTTGGTGTTGCTGGTCCCAAGCACTGACTGCTTCAGAAATTCCTTTCATTAGGCCTTCCAAGCTCAGTTCAATTTTCCTGGTGTATGTATTTGTATCTTACCTTTACAGAGTTAGATGTTAATATCTTTTAGATCTTAAAATAGTAGTTTGCAATGGGCTTTTGTAATGTGTCTGCTGCTTATGGAAATGTTTTAGTTAGCACAGCAATTCTGTCTGATAGAAGAGGGATATAGTATCAGGAAAACTTGATCTGAACCTTCTTGAAATGTGGTGCCCAAGCCTGTAACACGACTCAGTGACATGCACTCACCCTGATGCATTTTTAAAACACTTGAAAGTCAAACTCTCTGCCAGTGCAACTTTGTGCATCTCTTTCTTGCATTTCCAGTATTCATTCCATAAATACCCACTCATCTGTGCCAAACTTCAAAGAAGTCTCATCCATTCCTCCTGAAATTTCTGGATTTCATTCATATTGTACAGTGTAGAACTGGGTCTCAAATCCTGACTTGCCTGTGTTCACAGTGCAACTTTCAGAACAGTCAGATTCACAGTCAGGGTAACCAATAACCTCTACAACAGAGGGAAAGCAGATGATTTGTCCTTTGTTTCTAACAGGAATATACAAGAAAGTCGAAATGATGGAATCAATTTTGCTTTCTAAGTACCTTTATCCCACTTTCTTTATGGAGTTAAATGATCTGCAGTGAATGGTATGTATAAACCATTTTACCTGCTATTATGTTATGCATTGCAAATGAGTTAGCAAGTTTTAGGGAAGGGATTATTGAACATCTATGTGCGTGCATGCACTGTGTAACAGGATGAGCATGGTTACTAAGGGTTACCACAGTAGTTATGCATTTTCCATGCCTAGTAAAGCTGGGTCTCAAATAATAATATAGAGATACAACACCACATCCATACTTCTGTGTTGGAGACTTCTGAAATAAAGAATGGAGCATGGGTAGAGCAAGTGCCCTAATAAATACAGTGGTTTGCATTACACATATTAAAGGTGTAAAGGTGTCATACAGTGCACCTACCTGCCCATGGAGATTGGTGATTAAGAGGGAGAGGGACAATTAAGATTTATGGTGGTAATTTTAGAAATCAACTGGTAATTAAGCTAAGTTGCAGTTTTGTTAATGCATTCTGTGGTTTATGGAATTCTGCTGTAAAATTACATGTACCTGTGACTGCATGCGTTAAAATCATAAATGGTATTGTTGGGCTGTCCTACAGAACTGTAAATGTGCTTCCTTCACTGACTGACACGGGAACTCAAAATCAGTAGAAAGCAATAAAGTTAAATCTTGGTCCTCCAAATGCTTCTGCATGTGTGCAGCTTTAGGGCTAATATGTCTATTGCTGTTACTGGCACTCCTTGAATGCTTAGAGGTGAATTGTTTATAAAAGCTTGCAGGTGTGTAGGCTAATAGCATCCCAGTATTGGACCATAAGAGAGGGAAAAAAAGTGTATCCCAAAATGCACCATATAAATTCAACAAATGTACTTAAGTTTTGAATTATTTAATTTATTAATTTTAATTATTTATAATACTTCAGAGTATATTAGTAACTGTTCTGTAACATACTGATAATAGTAATGAAGTCTGAGTAATTCAAGATCTGATTACATCATCTTGCTATTAGGTTGTGCTTAGAAATAGAAGAGAAAGCACCAATATAAGTTCAAACAACAAAATATGATTCAGCAAAAAAGTGCCAGTTGCACTAGGTTCCCAAAACTTTTAGGAATAATAAGTAGGAAGTATCTCTGCTTATCTTAATAGATGGCATTATTTAAGTTAAATTGATAACTTGGAGTTTTGATTTACTTGGAGTATTTATGTTAAGAAAAGCAGACTGTCCTTCAATTTGTATTTATTGTATTCAGAACCCGCAAAAACCTCCCAGATTTGCTCCCCATCACTTTCTTCATGGAAGAGGCTTTGCTACCCTGTGTTGATTGGGTTGGAGCAGCATGAACTAGACCTGGCATACACACGGTGTTGTGGCAGTGGTTGTTGCAGCAGCTGTGGTGTGGCAAGGCACAATGATGGTGAGTCCAAGAATTTGTCTTGATGGACCTGGGTGATGAGCACCACCATGAAGAAAAGACTTCTGTCACAGCAAGCAAAGGCCAGATCCCCAGGAAAGTATCTGTCTTCCTACTAAAGTACCAGGATGGTGAAAAAGGCTCTCATGGCTGATGGGCAGCTGTGTCTGAGATGGCTTCCCCTGCTTGTCTTTCCCTGTGTTTCCTACTTTGTACTGCTCTCCTTTACCTCCTCCCTAGTGCTGTCGTGGAGAGATCACCAATATGTGATCAACAGACCAAAAAGGTTGATCATTAGGAAGATAAGACCTCCCTAGCACATCGCCAGTTGTTTTAAGATGTTTCTGATTAATGATTCTATTTTAGCCATTTCAGTGCTCAGCAATCTTTATTTTTCGGTGTTGATAGTGGAAGTCCATGCCTTTCCTGAATCGGAGTTATTTTGACCAATAATCCAAATGTGGGTCAATTCAAATCAATAGAAATGTCATTAGCATCCCAGTACTGTGAAGATAATATGAACATTTCTCATGCATTCAGTTTATTAAAATTTACTAAAGTGTGAAATATGTATGACAAGTAATGATGTTTTAATCTTTCACCAAGGTAACAATTGAAAGCTGATTGATTCCATTCAGTAATTATAAAATCAAAATGATGGAAGATTGTAATCAAAAAGGATTCTGTCTCATACTTTGTCATGCCTCCATGCAAGATAAAATTCTTATTTGTAACATCTCTTATATCCAAAAAGTAATCAAACTCCTATTTGGCCAGTTTAAATCTCATGGCTGGTTGGACAGCAAACTTTCTTTTAAACTCTGATGAGGAGAAAAAAGTAGCCTGCATCCACCAAAGCTGCCGGTTTTCCAGGAGAATGGCATAGGAGACAGTATCAAAGGCTTTACTAAAGTCCAGGTAGACAATACCTACAGCCTTTCCCTCATCCACCAGGCAGGTTATCTGGTTATAAATGGAGATCAGGTTGGTCAGACAGGACCTGCCTTTCACAGCCCCCTGCTGGCTAGGCCTGATCCTTTGGTTGTCCTATATGTGCAGTGTGATCACCTACAAGAGGATCTTTATTCCATAACCTTCTCCAGCAGCAGGGTCAGGCTGACACTGTAATTCCCCAGATCTTCCTTCTGGCCCTTTTTGTGGATAGGCATCACACCGTCCAGCTTTCAGTCATCTGGGACCTCCCTGGTTATCTAGGACTGATAAATGGTGGAAAGCAGCTTGGTGAGGTCTTTTGCCACCTCCCTCAGTATCCTTAGATGAATCTTATCTGCTGCCATACACTTATGAATGTCTGACTAGCTCAGCAGGTCACTAACTACTTATTCCTGGATTTCAAGTGGTCTTTTCTGCTCCCTCTCCCTGTCTACCAGCAGCCAGGGACTGGTTGCCCTGAGGATATCCAGTCTTTCTGTAAAAGACTGAGGCCAAGAAGGCATCAAGTATCTCAGCCTTTTCCTCATCCTTGGTGAAAATGTTCCCCTCCCCATCTTAAAAAGGATAGAGATCTTCCTTGTACCTCCTTTTGTTTGGAGGACTTAGAAAAACATTTTACTATGCTTCAAAGCAGTGACCAGATTAAGTTCTAGCTGAGCTTTCACCTTTCTGAATTCTGTCTACATGATCCAACAACACCCTTGTATTCTTCCAGAGTTGTCTTCACCTTCTTCCAAAGGTCAAAAGTTCTCTTTATTTCCCTGACTTCCCCTGCAAAAGCTCCCTTTTCAGCTAGGCCAGTCTTCTTCCCAACTAGCTTGTCTTTTGGTACATAGCGATGGCCTGCTCCTGCACCTTTAAGGTTTCCTCCTAAAGTATGTCCAGCCTTCCTGGACCCATTTGCTATTAAGGACTCTTTTTCAGGGAGCTCTATGAACCAGTGTTGGAACAGGTCGAAGTCTAAGGTAGAAGATTTGTTACCCACTTCCTTACTTCAACCCAGTTGTTTCATATTCATTGAAACAGTCCATATCTCCCACCAGCCCTTCTTTGTTTTCAAACAACAGGTCTGTCAGGGCACTGACCCTGACGACTTACTTATGAAGATAGGAAATTATCTTCTGCACACTCAGGAATCTCCTAGACTGACCTCTCTCAGCTGTGTTGAGTTTCCAGCAGACATCCAGTAAGGTAAAGTCTCCAACAAGAGTAAGGGTTAGCACTCTTGGAACCTCAGTCAGCCGCTCATGGAATACTTCATCTGCCTCTTCATTCTCGTAGTGTACTCTGTAACAGACTCCCACCAGTATATCTGCCTTGCTAGCCTTCCCCCTGAGTCTTACCCATAGCCACTCAGCCTTGTCATCACTGTCCTTCAGCTCTGTGCAGTGAAACACTCCCTAATGTACAAAGCCACTCCACTGCCTCTTCTTCCCCACCCGTCCCTTCTGAAGAACCATTATAACTCTCGTGACAGCACTCCAGCCATGTGAGTCATCCCACCACCTTTCGGTGATGGTGACAGTCACAGCTTTCCTGCTGCCAATGGCTTCCTCCTGTTTATTGCTTTGTTACCCATACTGTGTGCACTGTGTGGATGCTCTTCAGCTGGACTACTGATTTCACTCCCAGTGCTAACATGCCCACTCTAGGCTCATCTCTGCTGAGGCTAGTTTTATCATAGTCCCCCTTAAACCTGGTTTAAAACCCTCTCAATCAGCCCTGCCAACTCATGGGCTAGAATTCCTTTTCCCTCGTTTGGACAGGCAAACCCTATCTCTTTCCAGCAGGCACCATATAAAACACCCCATGAGCAAAAAAGCCAGAATTCCAACAGTGGCACCAGTCTTTAAGTCACATGTTGATCAGGTGGCTGTTCCTTTTGGCATTCTTCCCTGCTACTGAAATAATTGAGGAAAACAATATCTATGCTCCTGTCCTTACAACCAATTATCCCAGTGCCCTGAAGTCCTTTTTGATTGTTGTAGGACTTCTCTCCTCAGTGTCATTACTGCCAACCTGGGCAACAACAGTGGATAATAAATCAGCATGCTGACTCAGTTCAGGGAATCTTCTAGTAACATCTCTCACCCAGGCTCCAGAGAGGCAGCAGATTTCCCTGAAATAGGTGCTTTTGGCCATGGGAGCCTCAGTTTCCCTCAGAAGGAATTCACCTAGAAAACACCAGCAATTTTCCTTTTATATGTCTAAGGGGAGACACCATTTAAAATGTCAAAAAAAAAAAGTAAAAAAAAAAAGAAAAGTTAAAAGAAAAATAAAAACCCAGTATTTCTTTGGTTTTCTAGTGACTCAGCAAAAGCAAAATCTGGGCCTGTGTTGTTAGGAAGAAGTACATTTTAAATTCTTTTAAACTGCAGCTTCTCACTGCAACATCTTGGTTGATGCAGGTTAATGGCTGACTGCTAAAAAGAGAACTTCTTAGTTTCAGTTGTCTAATGGGATTTTTGGCAAGCTGCTTGTTAGAAGGATTATTTTCTTTAACAATATTGCTGTAGGAATGCATCTTCTAAATAGCCTGCTACATTATTTTGACATGACCTTCATATCTTTTGAACTTACATTTTCTGGAATTCTTTTTCTCCCATTAAGAAGCAATGTTGTTGGGTGTGTTTTTTCTAATAAATCTGGATGGATGATCAGGAAAAAAAACCTGGTGTGTCCAATGGCTTGATAATTTCAGGGTCAAAACAGATTTTATGTGTTGGTCTTCTTTCGCTTGCTGATGCATCTATTTAACCAAGCAGATGGTGCATAAGATCTAGCTGGCAGCACACAGAACGCATTAGGAGAACAAAGGGAATGTGAGATTAAACCAAAAAGAGGCAAGAACAGAGTTTCCTCACTGTTCTGCATGAAGGTAGGAGCTGCTCCGAGAGGATGCAAACTCAATTTTCTTATTGGACTTCTGGCCTCTTCCCTCCATCAGATTATTCAAAGGTAAATTTGCTTTTCACTCTCTCAGAAAGACCATTTTCCCCTCACTGGTATGTTTATTTATTAGTAACATTATTTGTAAAATGCTAACTTCATTGGCTGCACTGTTACGATGTTATCTCTGTGTGCTTCTGTGAGAATATAACAATGTCATGAAGAAAAATGATGTAAAAATGATGCGGGTACATAAAATGGGATTGACAAAATGTAATAAATCACTGCTGGGCTGAGGAACAGACCTGCATGTGTAATGAAATACTTCAGCATTACATCATCGTTTATGTAACATCTGGCAGAGCCTTGTATTTCAGTGCTGCTTTGAATTGGGATCATTTTTTCCTCTCAGATAAAAGAGAAAAACAAGCCTCTAGGTTTTGCACATAGAAAACTGTAAAGAAAAAAAAAATAAGAAAAAAAATAACCCTTAAAATACCCCAGAGAAATTTCCCTCTGAGAAGTTCTGTCATCTCCAACTGGATGCAAATAATATAATGACTGAGCTGCATACAAAATAGTTAGCATCCTAGAAGATGTTTTCAATTTTATAAGAGAAACATATTTTAATATGAAGGGGGGTTTTTTGAGATTATTTCATCCAAGAATTTTTATAATTGACATCATTATACATGCCTTGGAACCAGACTTTTAACAAAAAAAAAATGCAGGTGTGCATTCTATGTACTTTAGTGTTTTCCACTTCATGTTTTTTTTCAAATGAGAATGAAATTATCTTTATTGTGGACTCCTAGTCTTGTCTGATGCAAACATATGGGTACTACTTCAGTGTGGATTCCTCCATCCCAGGCTGCCATCAGAGTCTTCCTTATCCCAGGAACTCTGCCCTGTTCACCTGTGGTGCCAGCCAGGACAACATGATGAGCTGGTGGGGTGAGGATTAGTTGAAATGTGTTTAATTGGCTGTTGAAACAGATGAAATCAGAAATGTGAATGTCTGCTGCAGAAGTATCTGGATAGCACACTCACCTGTCTGAAATCAGTAGAAATCTTGCCATTAATTTCTAGGGTTCTTGGCTGTTGCCTTGTGCCTCTTGCTTCTGAAGCCTTTGGGAGGTCCTGGTGTGGTGGTGGTGGTGTGAAGGTGCTGCCAGGGATCCAGGCTGCCAGCCCTCTCAGCAGATAACTCTCCTTCCCCAAACTTTTGGTGAGTTGCAGCTGTCCAGAATGCAGTGCTGGAGCATTGACAAAAACTTGATGTATTTAAAAATAGTTTAAAAATAGGCTTTTTTATTTTTTTTTTCTTTTTTCTTTTTTTTTTTAGTACTAATAGGAGGAAATAGACCAGATTGTCAAAAAGAAATCACTGTTTATTTAGTTTCTTTTCATTTATCAAATACCAAATACAGATTAGCCACAGTTATTGCATTAGCTCATCTCCCAGGGATTTTCATATGGTATATTTACCCAGCAGTGTAGGACTGGCTGCTACATACATAGAGCTAGTTGTTACAGCTTTTTTACTTCCCCTCCATATTTTCCCAACAATGGTACAGAATGGCAGATCTTGATACACATCAAGTAAAATGCTATCTGAGTTTGTTTTCTGATAGCAGAAAAGGCAAAAGGAAGAGGAGTCCCCAGAACAGCAGTTACAAAAAGAATGATGAGGTGTAGGTGTCTGGGATGATTTTCTTTTTCTGAGCAATTGTTATAATTACTGAAAATATAGTTTCCTTTATTTTTTAAACTAGCTGTGACTTCTGTTGATTTCATTTGTAGGAGAGAGGTGCTGAAGAGCATGAATATCATTGAAAGTAGTACTGCAAAGCCAGAAGAGGGAAGCAATGGCCATATGATTGAAGCATAAGATCAGAGTCAGGATGTCTAATTCTTATTTCTGATTTTCCAGCAGGTGACTTTGGGGAAAAAAACAACAAACCAAATCACTATCAGGGCTGAAAACTGGCCATGTGGAGGGCTAGCTACAATGACTCTTTTTTGCAGCTGAGGCAACAGCCGGATGGTCTAGGATGGAAACTGTTCTTTCCAGTACCTGAAGATTTTGGATAAACATGTTTTTTCCCTTATATAAGTGTCATGGCAATGTACCAATGACCTATGGATTTCCAAGGGCAAGGAGAAGCATTTTTACGTCCCACAGGCATGACAATGACATTTTTGATCCTGGACATTGCAAGAGTGGAAGCAGACAGTCAGGTTACTGAGCAGGGGTTGTGTGAGGTTAGAGAACAAGTACTGGTGAAAGCTAAGACCATCTTGAAGTGAAAACTGAGGTGTTCTTATGCTATCTCAACCTACTCCCTCTCCTATAATGAAAAATAAATGACCTTTGCAGTGAGGTGGTATCTTCCCACAGGGCTTTCTGTGAGACACCAGGTGAGACTTCCAGTGAGTTTAGCAGCTCCTTCACATTTGTGGTTTGTACCCTCATGCTGTATAACTGCCACAGTTTAAACAGGTTAATAGAAGACAAAATTATCTAATGCTAGTAAGGTTGTCTCAGTTCCCTGGGAAGGATGAGCTGACAATACAAGAATATCTGTAAGCATCATTGAGAACTGGCTTTCAAGGAAAAAGTCCTTTGCTAAATATTGTCTAAATGGAAGGTGGTTTTTTAAATCTCTGGTTGCTTCAATTTTGGCAACCTTTTCTGTGAAGAAACCTCAGACCTTTCCTGGCCTGAGAAGTCCAAGGAAAGGCAGGTAGGCAGCTTGCTTTCCCTTCTGTACATTCCTCTGGTGGTTTGATCAACAGGAACTTTGGTTCTTAGCTTCATCCTTGTCCTCAGTGGGTCAGAGCCCCAGTATTGAGGTGTGACTCCAGGTCTAAGACTGAGCAGTATGTTACTAAAAAAGAATGAAGAGACTCTCTCTTTTGCTGTTCTTTACTTTGCCCATGGCAAGGGCAGGAGCTGGTGAGGAGCTGTTGCTATAAGAGTAATTGCATTCCTCAAAAGTCAGTGTTGGATCTGCCTCTTGCACAGGGATCGCCTTACCCACCTAAACAGTATGTGGGCATTAGCCTACATGATCAAAGACCATGTCTAATTCAGTGTATGGAAAAGATTTTGGGCAGTCCACTACTGTGCTGAGCAGGACAAAGGATTTTACTCTGTAATGTACACATTACCAGTAATGTGTTCAGGATTTAGTCAAGCACTACTGCAGGTACTAATACATGCCACTGGGACAAGAAAATGAGAATACCCAGTCTGTCAAGAAAATAAGAGCAATTCTGGAGAAGTGAAAACAGTCACTCAGTGGGGAAGAGGACTGAGTGGGTCAGCCAGAAGCACCAGAGTTGGTTCACTACTGCTGGTGACTGAGGCATCCCACTCCCCACAGTCCCTAATGTCCTGTGACTTCACAGCGGGGGAAGATACCCTTGTGATTTCACTCTGTAAATGAGGAGATAAAGCATGGATTTTCCCATTTCTATCAGCCTCTGTCTGTAATAACTTTGCTGCCATGCTATCTGTTGGGTTGTATGACTACCTTATTCACATTTTCTCGTGTGATGACTTGGTTGAAATTAAGGGTGAGTTGATGCTAGGATCCAGGAACTTTCAGGCTGGCAACTCTTAAAATGGATTCTGAAGTCCAGGGAATGGCTTGAGGTTCCCCTCACCTGTGCCTGCTCATTCACTGAGCATGGACAGCTCTCTACCATCACTGCTGCTGCTCTATGCCTGGACAAAGGGGTGTCAGTAATTGCTGTGGCCACACCAGCCTGTGGAATTAGGGGTAGTAATCAACCAGCCTTTAACCATTGCTCAGCAATCAAAGCTTTGAGTAATCTTACTGAGTTAATCCACCACCTTGCAAATCTTTTCCCACTGGTGTAACAGAGAAAGGAGCAGTAATTGTTACAGGGAATGAATTTTGTGTGAGGATGTATAACAGTGGCATTTCAGATTTGTTTCTTTTCACTTCTTGACAGCTGTTTAGCATTTCACAGATGCACATATTGATAATTTTTCCTGTCATTTCTGCATCATGAAGCTGCACTTATTCCCCAGATCTTCTATTTAATTCAGCTAAGCAATATTTAATTACCTATTTAAAAAGGAGATTGTGGACAAACAAGGCTACACTGGAAGAAGAATTGATTGGTTAAACCATAGCTGACTATGGAGAGGTGCCTCCATCAGGCTGTGCTCTCTGCTTCCCTTCCTCATGATTTTGTGGAGCTGTAGGGACAGGGAAAAGCAGAAGGGAGGCAAATCCTTCATCTACTATCCTGGCCTGTGCCCATGCTCCCTGTTCCCACTAGTTTGGCAGGATTATTCTGGCAGGAGAAGTATTAAAGTGAATGGCTATCTTGATCAGTTGTTAGGCTAAAGATTACCACGAGCACACCATATCAGGTCCATGCAAAATATTCAGAGAATTTCTTCTGCCTAAGGTTGTTTCTGCCTTGTTTCTTCCCTGCGCTGATCACTCAGGGCAACCTTTATTAAAACTACTGTGATGTTCATGATTCGTTTTACATTGTGTTTTGTTTCCTTTGAGGTGGTGGTGTCCACATGCCAAATTATTCCAAATTTATTGCAGATGAGGTCAGATTCATAGACTTATTTGAAAACAATAAGTTTTGGTTATATAGTTTGGTTATTTTTGTTTGTTTTATTACTTTGTTCTCTGCTATTTGATGGTTTGCTTCCAATGTTCCTTCCTGCTGACTTCCAATAGAGGTTTCTTGCTTTATAAACAAGTGGATTGATTTCCAATATAGACTTTTACTTCCTTGAAAACAGATCTTCTCAGGGGAAATTGGCAGTTTTCTCTGTATATGTTTTCTTATTTGTATTTACTTGGAGGGGTTTGAAACCCAAAGACAAGATTTATGTCAACAAATCCCCCTTCCTCTTGTCCAATTTAGTTGTTTTAACATAATGCAATCATTTTCTAAATCAAACTGATGGAGCACTTCCTAAAGGCATTACACCAACTGTATATTTGGAATCATATTTGCCTTCTTTTATTGCATTAGCACTAGGCTTGAACTTTTCAAATTTGCATTGTACTTTGCAGAAGTTCTCAGGATATTTGAAGCAGTTTATAGTTAGAATCTGGTGTGTTTTAAACAGAGACTGGAGAGTGAATTGTAGAGCAAAGGACATGTAGAAATGAGATTTTAGTTTCATGGAACAAATAGAAATTGGAATGAGTAAGCAAGAGGAATATTGCATTTTCTGGGTGTATTTGGAGGCACTGCAAAGGGGGGGCATGCTGTGTTAAAACACTGATCCTGTATGTCTCAGAAGGCTTTCTAAAAGTTTCATTTCTGCCCTTTAAAGAAGGTGCTGAGTAAGGATCTGACGTCAAAAGCAGAGGGTGCCTGGGACAATGCACTAAACACCTGGGATTTAATGTGATGATGCCTCTGCACTGGCTTTTGGAAAATATGTCTCTTGTTATTTGAACATTGTCTTTCTTTTCACCATATGGTGTGACCCTATCAGGCATCCTTCTCAAGATAGGCTTGTAATACTAATGAGGGGAAAAAACACAAGCAAGATTCTCATGCTCTTCTGTGCTTTTGAATATCTCCTCCCTTGTTCTTATGTGGTTATTTCAGTAGTAGTTCTTGGTCACACAGAGAAATGCATACTTTGGAACAAGCCAGCTAAAATAAGACCAAGAACATACAGTGAAAGGGCAAAAGAAAGCTCAAATGAAATTAGTTCAGGTACAGAAATGAGTTCCCCAAGCAGTGGGATGGAGAGGGATGTCAGTGCAACAGTCCTCTGTTTGAACAGGATCACAGTACCTCCAGTTCTCAGGGGGCTTGTATGAAACTTCCAGTTTCTGAGTGCTTGGAGCAGTGAGAGGTTAAACCACAGTCCTGCTAACTCCTCACTTGTTACTGTGGTATCACTGAGATGATGAAAATCCCATCAGAGCTGGATGCTTTTGGGTACTGCTGAAAGGTTGTGGAAGGAACCTGATCCAGTCTGTTGTCTTTTGGTAACTCTTTATCTTCCAGAGCAGAGGACAAGTAATCCCTTCATAAGTTCTGTCCCTTTCACAAGCACTGGTAGACAAATGGGTGCAAGGGAGGTTCTTGGGGTAAGACTGTGTCCAATAACTCATACTGCAGAAGAGGAGTAAGCCAGTAGTGGAGCAATTAGGGTCCTTGCAATTGCAATTCCTGTGCTGTGAGTCTAAGCCTGTTTCAAAAGCATTATTTTCCATTCCTCACCCTCCCAAAATATGACAACCAGCTGTTGGACAATAGCTTAACATCTAAAAAATTAATATCATATTATAAATAATAAATTGGCAGAAGATAGCTGACAGCATGAGAGCATCTTCTATTTTAAGTGCAAACTTTGGATTTTAATAAGTAAATAAAATTATAGTGATAAAACCCATATTGAGGTCTCTACTGCAATTCTAGGAGTAAGATTACTTAAAAAAAGGTAGTCCACTACCTGCAAATGGCCCTTAGATGAACATCTGGGCTCCCAGTATAGACAATTAAAAGGTGGATGATGGTATTTTCCTGCAACACAGATCATTGTCAGGTGTGGCAGGCATTCCTTGAAGACATGAAAACAGCCTTGTGCCCGATTGAAGGATCAAGGAAACTTGTGTGCTGGCCCATGGTTGGAATTTTTCATGGTCAAGGGTTAGCTTCTGATGGTTTGGTGATCTCTTCACAGATTCAATGAAGGAGAAGGTGTGATAGATTGGCTTTTAAGGAAACAAAGAGAAACACCTAAGGAAGTGAAAACTGCTGGCGGCTGATGGGAGTTTTTCTCCTAGCCAACAGCTGGCCATTTCTAAGAATTGACAGCGGTTTTAACCTTTGAAAAGTGAGATCAACCTGAGAACACCACCTTAAGACCTAAGCCTGGGAATTTCTTTGTCTCTTTGTTTCCTGGCTGTGAAAAGTAACAGAGCTTTAGCTGGTTCCTGTCCCCTGCCCAGGCCATGGAACCCCGGGCAGGGGCTGGGCTGGGTCTGCCGCAGCTCCCGGCCAGGAGATGGGGCCTGCGGGGCTTCTCCCGGGCTCTGGCCGGGCCAGGCCGGTTCCGGCCAGTCCCTGGCTTGGCTGCAGTTTTTGCCGTGACTGAATTCACCACAGATTGTCGAGTAAAGAAAGAAAAAAGCTCTGGACCTGCGGCGGGCTGAGACAGCGACCACACTCTCCAGAGCAGCCATGAGGAATCTTCCATCGCAGACGGCTCCAGCTGCTGCTCCAGCAGAGATCACAGAACCATCTACAAAGCCTGGACAAGATTTTAACCTTTTCATTACCCAGATGAGACTTGCAGATTAATCCTTTTTTCCAGAGAGAGAAAAAGAGACTAATCAACATGTAAAGAGACTTTATAAACTATTAGAGACAGTAAAGAAAAGAATTAAACTTCAGAAGAGGTAGAGAATAAGGAGATGCTTCATAATCCGAAATATTTTTCTGTTAAATCTATGGAGATGGACAATAGTGTTCTGAAAAAACTCCTTTAATTCATGACAGAGTATATTGGGAGGAATGGAGTGTTCAAAGTGTGGATTTTGAGCAAAAGGTGGAGTAATTATGATACAGTGAGGTATATTGTGATATATTATTATGTGTATGATTATATATGTGATATATTGTTATACAGAGAGGGGAGAAGTAATAGCTGAAGATTTGGGGCCGTTGTAGAGGTAAAGAGTAAACTTCTGTTTCCAGAGAAGCTCACTGTAAGAGACGTTTTTGGGGAGCTGGACGGTCCGAGACACAGCAGAGACATCTATAGTCGAGTTAGATATTAGTGGTTTATTTCAGGGCGTGGGAGAGAGAGAGAGCCTGCTATGAGCCAGCAGATAGAGCTCAAAGCAGGCTTGGAGAGAATAATACAAAAGGGGGAAAAATATGAATACATGAGTTCAAGACTTAAGATTGCTAAGAGAGTAACAGAACAGAAGTGAGAGAGCTGGGAAAAAAGAGGATAAAGATGAACAGGAAAGAGCAGGAAAAAGAGCTTAGAAAAAGTGAGGCAAGAGCACAGAAAGAGTGAGACAAGAGAGAGAGCTCTCCTTTACAATTGCTTTTATAATTTATACATTTGAATATTCTATTCTTTTACTAACCAATCTTTTTAACTATACTAATACAGTAACATTTGTGTGCGACTTATAGAAATCACTGCTTTTGCATATTTTTAGTTATCTCAGAGTCCTTCAGACCTTTCCTTATAAGGCTAGGAAGAGGGGTCTCAGCTTAGTTTTATTGGGGGAAAGAATGTGTTCTGGCATACCAGACCGGTTTATTTGAATTATTCAAACCGTGCTTTCATTTGTATTTCTTCCTTAGCCTTTCTGGCTACAAAGTCATATTTATAATTTCTTTCTAATTCTACCTTCCTAACAGAGGAAGATGACAGCTCACAGAGACAGATGAAGAGAACTTTTGCCTTTGAATAACTCATCCTTAAAAATGACATCCCTAGACTCATTGACCCATACACACCTCAGAGTGA